TATGTGTGTGTGTTGTGCATGTGTGCGTGCGTGTGGGTGTCAGCGCATGCATGAGCTGTTCCTGTTGGTTTGGTGTGGACGTGTGTGTGGCGCAGTCCTCGGCATGTGGTCCCTGCCAGATCAAAGTTGGTCTGCCCTTCACCTCTTCTGCCTGTGCTCACCATGAAGTGTTTTTTGACTGGTTGTCACCTTGTTGTTGCTGCTGTTTTACAGCGCCACTGACACGCGCGTGGAGGAGGTTGATTTGAACATGCCTGACGCGTACATGGACGTGCAAGGTGTCAGCCGAAGCCACAACAGCACCGCACACAGCGCTGGAGCAAAGTCACCAGGTCAGCAATGCGAATGGTGCATGTGTGTGTTCGGTGTGTGTGTGTGTTCGGTGTGTGTGTGTGTGTGCGCGCGCGCTCTAATGATGATGCTTGTTTGCTTTGTTTGCTTTGCATGCTTTGCGTGCATTGCTCCTGTATGGCTAGCACTCTGCATCTCACATACGCCCGTCCACTTGTTCTCTTGTTTACTGCTGTTGTGGTTGAATGTCGGCTTTGGTCGCGCAGTGGAAACACGGGTAGACGACGATGAAGACGACGACAACGATGTTTAAACCCCACATATCTGTTTTGCAGACCCTGCACGCACGCCCACACCATGGTCAATAATTGTCCTGTCGTTCGCTCTCTCTCGCTCTCTCTCTGTGTGTCTTGCGCACACACGTATGCATCGTTTCTACACAGATGTCACTTGTGTGTTTCTGTGCGTTTCGAAACGACCTTCTCTCTTCTCCTTTCTCTCTTCTCTTCTCCCTTCTCTCTTCTTCTCTTTTTTTTTTCCTTCTTCCCCATCTCCGATTGACCCCCCTCCTGTTGCCTTCACTCACATCCATCTGAACACCCTCCTTCCGGGGTGTCTTTGACCCAGCGTCGTCTGCCTGCGTGTGCATTTATTTGAACTCTGTCGCCGTTCTTCCACTCGCGCTTCGTCCAAGCACATCAACGCACACCCTTCCCCCTTCTTTTCTTCTGATGCGTTGCGGTGGGAGGGTGGGGACGTTACACCCACCCCCCTTTTCTGTGTGGTAGTCTCTCTGTCTTGTGCACCACCAAGTGTGAAGTACACACATGCATGTGTAGTCCTGCCGTAGTCACGTGTTTTTTTTTTCCGTGTCCCCGTGTGGATTTTTGGGAGAGAAAAGACAACCATCACTGGTCATGAGCACCTCATCGTGATCTTGTCTGCCGGTCTTACTGTCCTGCTCTCGCTCTTTCCTTGGTCATTCCGTCACCAGTAGTTGCTTCCTACCTCATTGTCGCTTGCATGCAGGCACCTCCCTTCTGTGTATTCCTTGCCTTTGCGTTGCCCCCGCCCCTCCTTCCATATTGCCAGTTATTACGTCACGTGCCATGGTGGTGCACTCAAGCTTATTGCCCTTTTTCTTCTTTCTTTCTTGCCTGCCTGATGTCTTTGACACACCCACATGCACGCCCACTCACATCATCTCTGCGCTTTCTTGTGTTGCTGCTTCACCCATATAATTGCTTGCGGGTATGCCTTGTTTGTTGATTGTTTTGTTTGTACTGTGATTGGTGTGCGTGTGGATGCAACATGGCATCAGCCACACCAGCCATATCAAGTAATGAACGAACAGCCAGCCACGCCGCACAACACACACGCGCACACACATACAATCACAAGCAGCACGCCAACTCTGTCGTCAACAACATCAACAACAGCCGCAACTGTAACAACACGGATGCACACACAAACTCTCACAAGAGCACGCAAACAAACGTGCACATAAACACGTACACACACGCACCCACCATACCACAGAACTCACTCACACACACCTACACACGCAAACACACGGCGGCACCCATCTTAGAAGTTGATTGCCTTGCCGCAGTACGCAGCCAGGGCAGCCTCCCTGAAGGCCTCCGTCTCGGTTGGGTGGGCGTGGCACACGCGTGCAACGTCCTCGCACGACGCGCCATACTCCATGGCAAGCGCAGCCTCGTTGATCATCTCGCCCGCGCTGGAGTTGACCATGAAGCAGCCCAGCATGCGGTCTGTCTTCTTGTCGCCGAGCACCTTGATGAGCCCGTCGGTGTCCTCGTTGCACTTGGCGCGCGAGTTGGCAGACATGGGGAAGGTGCCAACCGTGTACTCAATGCCCTCCTCCTTGAGCTGCTCCTCCGTCTTGCCAACCCACGCAACCTCGGGGTGGGTGTAGATGACAGATGGCACGCAGTTGTAGTCAATGTGCGGGTGGCCGCCCATCATGCCCTCCACAGCGATGATGCCCTCGTCCTCAGCCTGACGCGAGAGAGAGAGAGAGAGAGAGAGAGAGAGAGAGAGAATGTGTGTGTGTGTGTGTGTGTGTGTGTGTGTGTGTGTGTGTGTGTGTGTGTGAGTGTGTGTGGGTGAGTGTGAGTGTAGGTGCAACCGAGACGCGAGAAGCTCTCAAAGCAAGCCACGACTTTCATGCCCACGGACAATCCTTGCATGCAATCATACACGCACATCGCATACCTTGTGTGCAAGCATGGGGCCCTTGATGCAGTCGCCGATGGCGTACACGCTGCATAGAAAGACAACACGCAAATGCATCCGTGAGCACCGTGTCACCCAAACAAGGCAAAAACGGCAATGCCCAAACGACAACACGGCACGCGTGCAGGTGCAAACACGATCATCATCATCATCACCACCACCACCACCATCACCATCACCACCACCACCACCATCACCATCACTATCACCATCATCACCTCTCGATGTTTGTGCGGAAGTAGTCGTCGACCTCGATGCGGCCGCGGTCGTCCAGCTTGACGCCGACCTCATCAAGACCAAGGCCAGCAATGTTGGGGCGCCGCCCAACGCACACAAGAACCACGTCTGCACCACGCACAACAAGCGGCAGCACAGGGGAGAAATGGGCGCGCATGTGTACGTTTCAAGGAGGGGCAAACAAAGTGTGAGAAGTGCTGTGACGAGAAGGTCGCGAGCAAGAAACCTGGCGAGGGACTGTACACACGCAAACATAGACACATAGACACATAGACACATAGACACATAGACATGCACACACACACACACACACACACACACACACACACAAAGGGGCTGTGGACCTGCATCGATGGTGGAGGTCTTGCCCTTCTTGACGTCCTCAATAGCCACCTGGAGGGAGCCATCATCCTGCTTCTGCACACCCGTCACCTTGGTGTTGAGCTTGAAGTTGACGCCTTGCTTCTTCAGCACGCGCTGGAACTGCTTGGCAATGTCGAGGTCAATGCCAACGCCGCCAATGTTGCCCAGAAACTCAACAGCCGTCACCTTGGACCCAAGCCGGCTCCACACAGAACCCTGCACACATGTTGCAGAAGCACAGGTGCGCCCGTGTGTGTTGTGTGTTGTGTGTGGTGTGCGTTGTAAGTGTGAGTGAGTGCGTGTGCATGTGCATGCATTTATGACGCGTCGATGGAAAACGGCAACGCACGCCGAATGCTCGTGTGTTCACATGAGCAGCTGCAGGAGCATGTCGTGCGTGCACTCACCAGCTCAAGACCAATGACACCAGCGCCAATGACAACCATGCGCTCGGGCACCTCCTTCAGGGACAGGGCACCCGTGGACGACACAATCTGCTCGCGGCCCCGTGCATGCGTGTGCGTGCGCAACATTGATTCACAAGAACGTGAGACGAAGATGAGAAGGTGGTGGGCTGTGGGGAAGGGAGGTTACTCGTGTTGTGTTTAACTCCTGGAAGCCACCCAGTGGGAAACAGCAACGCAGACACACAGACACGCATGCACGCGCGCGCAGACACAGACACATACACACACATACACTCACACACACACACACACACACACAGAGGCACAGACACATACACACACACACTCACACCACACCTTCTCCTCGTCAATCTCGACGGAGCCACCGGGGAAGGGGGCAACCTCGGAACCGGCGGCAATCATGATGCGCTTGGCGTTCACCGTCTGCGTGCCACCCTCAATCAGGTCACACTCAACAGAGTTGGGGCCCGTGAGCTTACCATGGCCCTTGACGTAGTCCACACCTACGTGTGAGAGAGAGAGAGAGAAAAGGTGGGAAGGTAGTGATGGGCGTGAGTGGTGGTTTGCTTGTTGCTTCGCGTGGCTGTGGCCATTGCACGCATGCAAGCAGCTGCGCGCAAGCAAACAAAATAGACATGTACACACGAGCAGAGGAGAAACGTACACAACACGAACATGTACATGTGCACAGATACAAAGATGTATGCACACACACAACACACACAAATCAAGTACATACATAGAACATACAACACAGACACAGACACAGACACACACACACAGACGCACACACACCGTTCTTCTTGAAGAGGTACTCGATGCCGCCGGTGAGCTGCTCAACCGCCTTCTCCTTAGCACCCATCATGGTGTCAAGGTTGAGCTTGACATCGCTGACCTCCACACCACGGTTCTTCATGTCATGCAGGGCCTGGTGGTAGATGCGCGAGTTGTTCAGCAGCGACTTGGACGGGATGCAGCCCACGTTGAGGCACGTGCCGCCGAGCTTGCCGCGCTTCTCAATGCACACGGTCTACACATTCCCATGTGGTTATGAGTGCGTGAACAACGTAGTTGTTAGAAAAGCAGGCGGCAACAGCACGCACCAACACACACACACACACACACACACACACACAAAGCACAACACACACACACACACACACACACACACACACACAGACACAGACACACACACACACACCCCAACGCACCTTGAGACCGAGCTGGGCGGCCTTGATGGCACCAACGTAGCCACCGGGGCCACCGCCAATGACGGCAAGGTCATACTCCTGTGCACCGGAGGACATGAGCCGGCGCGCAGCAACAAGCGTAGCCGCGGGCGTGGCACGCACGGGCGCCGAAGCAACCGCTGTGCGCAGTGCAGTGAGCGAAGCCATGGTTCTTCTCCCCAGCCAGCTGCTTGTGCTGCTTGTGTTATCTTGTGTGTCTTGCTTGGCTTTCGCTGTGTTGCCTTCTCGCTGTTGAATGTGTGTCGCTTCTGCTCCCCGTTCTGTGCTGTTGCGGGAAGTTTGCGCGCTGCCACATTTTGTGTGGGAATTCCACCCTTCTTTGGTGCTAAAAATAAAGAAAAACTGCACAACAACAAGAGGTGAGGACGACGATGTTGGCTTGGCTGCAACTGTCTGGCTGTGTGTGATGGTGGCATTGACCTTTGCTTTGACCTTGAGCGTGACCTTGAGCGTGACCTTGGCGTTGGCGTTGGCTGCTCACCATTTCCTCCTCCTTCACGCCGTTGCTGACTGCACTGAGCTGCGTGCACTGACATCCCGTGCTTTGGTTTGTCGCTGCTTCGTTGACACAGAGCAACACAGAGCAACACAGAGCAACACACCACCACCAATCATGTCTTCAACGGAGAGGTTGCACCCGCTCCTGGAAGTGTTCACGGTGCGTGCAGTTTTTGTTGTGGCTGTGTGCCAGACAGAGTGGGCGAGGGGGTTGGAAGCTTGCGAAGCGTGCTTGCCAACAGTGTGAGTTGGGAAGGGGGAGGACAGCTTGCTCTGTCGGGTTGTACCCAGATCATTCACATTCACTGCGTGACTCGCTGAACACGTGCTAGGTTTGGGACGTGCCCACGTTCCATCTCGTGATTGAGGGCGTGTTGATCGCCTTGCTCGTCTACGTCTTCTCCCTCAAGCGCTATCGCCCCAAGCAGCGCAACGTCAAACTCACAAAGCAGGTGGGAAACTGTGTGTGTAAGTGGAGGCGGGGGGGGGGGAAGGTTTGTGTGTGTGTGTGTGTGTGTGTGTGTGTGTGTGTGTGTGTGCGTGCGCGTGTGTGTGCTTTTGTGTGCGAGCGTGTGCGTGTGCTTGTGAGCACGTGCTTGCAGTGCGCAAGCTTGCAGCAGTGGGCTCGTGTGTCGCTCATCATCATCACTGTGGTTCGGTTGTGTGGACAGGAGGAGGAAGAGTTGCTGCGGGAATGGAAGCCAGAGCCGCTTGTGGAGCCAGTCAAGGAGCATCTCCCCGATGAGGGCCCTGTCGTCGAAGGGTGAGCTGCAGTGTGTTTGTGTGTGTGTGTGTGTGTGTGTGTGTGTGTATGTGTGTGTGTGTGTGCGTGCGCGCTTGGGTGCGAATGTTGTCCACGCTGGTGTCAGCAGGTCGATGTACGCGAGTAACATACGCCTTGGTGGCCTGCTCAATGCACCTGCAGCGTGGCTGGCGTGACCTTGACCATCGGAGGCGAAGAGAAGATCAACATGGGCACCTACAACTTTCTGGGCCTCGTCGGTGACAAGCGTGCTGAGGTGCGTGCGTGCGTGCGTACATTTGTCTCTGCCCGTGTGCTGTGGCAATTGTGTACAACCCACCTGTACATGCCTATCGTGTCGTCACGTTGTGTCAAGAACACACTGCGGCTCCACTGCCTCCGTCTTCTCGTCCCCAGCTGCCAACT